ATGCAGGGGGAGCAGTGTCATGGCAATCAAGATTGTAGAAATGTGTTTCTACATCAACTACATAAGCTCAGTACATTGCAGCAGTTGATACTGGCAAGGAAGTTTTGTGGATGAAGAACTTCTTGCAAGAGCTCGGCATGAAGCAAGAGAAGTATGTTCTGTTTTGTGACAGTCAGAGTGCTATTCATCTTGCCAAGAATTCAAGCTATCACTCTCGAACCAAGCACATTGATGTAAGGTATCATTGGATTCGAGATGTCGTGAGTTCCAAGTTGCTGAAACTTGAGAAGATCCATACCGACGACAATGGTTCGGATATGATGACCAAGATATTGCCAAATGAGAAGCTACAAGCATGTTGCAAGGTAGCGGGCATGGCAGTGCCCCCCTCATGAGTCGGAGGGGGAGATTTGTTGGGATATCCTCCTCATGTGGCCTCTGAGGAGATGAACATTTGAGGCCTTTTAGGCAGCCCAAAGAGGTGCATAAGCCCACTACCCATTAGGGTTATGACCTAGGGTCATTTTGGACTTTGCACATGAGTGGATGGGGATGCTTTACGCTCCATCCAGCAGCCACCACCAAGGGTGACGAAAATTCGTTCATCCTCCAAGAGAGAAGAAGAGAGAAAACCAAGAGAGCAAGGGAAGAAGAGGAAGATTGAAGGAAGAAGAAAAGGGAGCTCCTCGCCAAGGTTATGATGGTCCAGATCCACTACCTTGTCTCCTTCAAGCTTCGGTTCCACCATCTTTGGTGAGATTGTTCTAATCCCTAGTTCTTAAGCCCAAATCTTGTTGTGTTCATCCAAGATTTAGAAATCTTGATGCATGAGATCCTCTAGTGTTGTCTAGAGAAGAACTTATTGTATCCCACATTTGATAATAGTGGAAGAGGATTTGGGTGGCTTCGGCCCGTGGTTTCCCCCCTCAAGTTGAGGGGTTTTCCACGTAAAATCTGGTGTCTCTTTGTTGATGCTTGGTGCTGCCCAGAAACTTACTCCTACCACAAGACACTAGGCTGAGGAGTGTCTTGCCTGCTGCTTAACATTTTCTGCCGCCATATATGTTGTTGCATATGTTTCCTTCCGTGCTAAGCAACGATCCTTGAGTTAGTATATGATGTGGTACCGAGATTACTTTGTCTCCGCTGCAGTTATCAGTTAACCACAAATACATTTGTATGCTAATTCCCAACACTAGCTAATGGCTAATGTTGGCTTTTGTGTTGGTTGTGTGCATGTTATATGCATAGGCTAGGTATGAATCATTTTTGCTCTATTACATGACAGTGAAACGAAATGGATAAACATTTCTATTTACAAAAAACTATGGTTATTGTCATCGAGGACCTCTTGGATTTGTAGGATTTATAAAACACAAAAAATGAGATAACACACCATTAAGAGCGTGTTGGGAAATGGCCTGGCTCCTCCGGATCCTTGACTCCCGCTCCTCTACCCGAAATGGTGCTCCTTGTAAAAATTAGTGCTACAAAAAACTGTTCGACAGATAGCTCCGCTCCTGATTCAGTTGTGGCGAGTGGATGAAACAGAAGCGAGCGAGTCGTGCGGTCACTCTGCACCTTTTTCACTTAGCGGTGGCAGTTCCTTCGTAAAATTTAGCAACTCCATGATATTGAAGATCTGAGATCCGGGAAATAGCTGCTCGCAAAACTAAACTGCAACCGGCTCCACTCCGCATTTCTAGCTCCTTGGAGTTCAAGCGTTCGACACCGCTCCAACAGCTCCGGGAGCGGAGTTGAGGAGCAGAGAGAAACCAAATGCACCCTAAACGTTTGTATTCCTTAGTTCCATTAGTTGTGAATTAATTTAGAAAGTGTGACACACAAAATAACAAACAAATTATGAAAAACACTACCCTTCAGCCGGCAAATGCACAAGTAGCGTCCGCCGCCTGTGTAGCAGTCATATCAATCTTGATCAAACGCTCATCCTGGCCACAAGACCCGCGCAGCCACCCATGTGCCACATGCTCCACCGGTCTTGTTTCATAAGGTTTCTGCAAAAAAACTTGTTCCGTGGCGAAGTTTTTTTCTCATGCAATAGGGGTCTTGTTCTAGGAGGTTTTTGTGACAGTGGTCTTGTTTCAAAAAGAAAAAAAATGATTCGATGGTGAAGGTTTTATTTTCTGCAACATGGGTCTTATTTCAGAAGATTTATGCAACATGGTTTTATTTTAGAAAGAAAAAAAATGATTCGATCATGTTTTGCAATAAGGCTTCTGTTGTAGCGGGATGAATGAAACACTAGCCTTGTTGCAAAGGCTTATGGCGGTCCATCAAGATGGCTATTACAGGCTCCATCAAACGGTTGGCGAGGAGGTCAATAGATACGCACCTTATCCATATGAACACGCGCACACAATCTACCCTATAAGCACCTCTGAGATACTGAGCCGGCACATCATCCTGAGATTGACGAAGTCATACACACACACGCCTTCATAGTCGGCAAGGACGTCACCTCCCACGAAACACATATCGCTGAAAAGGTTGGGAGTAAATTAAGAAAACGCAAACACGAGTACCAAGTTTAAGACTTAAACTTTGATGGCCTCAAAATATCATTGTCCTCCTGACCATTCAACCACAAATTGATTCACGTAGCAAGAGTTTTAAAGGGATCCAGTCCCTCCAAAAAGCAGGGCACAGGATCCTCGGTGAATGTACTGAAAAGTTTACAATCATACAAGTCCAAACCATAATATATCTTTCCGAAACAAAGAAAAGCTCTCGTGTTGGCTTCACCGGAACTCGTGAGCTTTCATTCAGGCATGTGTGAGGTGGGTCGGCGCTCGGCGGTAGCAAAGCATGTGGGAGCAGGCGAGTCTCCTGACGCCCTTGTCTGCCTGCCTGTCACGCTGCGCCTCTCCTGTCCTGAACAAGGTTCGGTTAGCCAGTCGAAGCGAAGGCCCTGTTTGGATCATGTGGTTAGAGCTAGTTTGGATTAGTTGGGGCCTCAGATAACCCAAAAGCATCCAAACAGAAAAGGTTAAAGTGGGTTAGTTCCATCTAACCCAATTATCCCGATGAAGAGGTGCTTATTTGAGTTAGAGTGGGTTAAAAAATAACTCTAACTCTAACTGTGTTAGAGTATCCAAACAGGGCCGAAGAGTTAATTAATCAGCTCCTACTGTGCACTTTGCAGCCCCGCTCTTCCTGGTGCGTTTGTGAGAGAGAGGCTACTAGCCTCTGCCAACTATTAAGTCGTGATGCTGTACACAGCTGATCAGTGGAATGGGCACCGGCTCGAACGGGGTTGGGCTGAGTCTCGTGGAAGCCTCAGCTTTTCAGCCTGGCCGTGGATTCGATGTCACGCGTCTACCAGCCGCTCATCTGTTGCTCGTCCCTCATGATGTGTATGGATTTGTCTGAATGTGTCGTAAATCACCATTATCTAAAATTGCATTAGGCTTAAATTGGTAGTTTTTGTTCCTAAACGGAGGTGAGCATTTTACCAGAGAGAATTCCTCCGTCAATTAACGAACAAAAACCATCGCAACCCTTGAGCAGTGCACACAAGATATCTCACATAGACACCCGCAAAAAGAAAAGAAAACAAAGATATCTCACATAGACCACCGAGAAGAAAACCTCATCAAGATAGTTCCTTCCGGTATATATTCGCAAGAAAATGTTCCGTGTATATTTATGCAAGATATATAGTGGAAGAAGATAATCCTTACGGGCCTCTGCACCATCTCAAGATGCGCACCACTTACTCCTACTTAACATGTCATGCTACCTACTTAAGTGTACATCCACATTAAATCATTAATGCCGACGTATGTACACACACAACACGCACATATCCTAGCCATTTTTCACTCGGTGGCTATCCTGATCCATTTTCTTTGTTGTTGAAAAAGTGGTTATCCTGATCCTTCTCCTAGAAGCATCGAGGCACAAAACAGGTACTAAATCAGTGACATGTTTCCATGAACCGGTTCACTGGAGCAGTCTTGCAGGACCAGTCAGCGTTTTGTCTGGTCGGTGTACCCAGTGGAGATAAGATTGTGCAATCTATAGCATCGCCGAGTCACTGACAGCCTAATTAATCAAGAGCAACCAGTGCGATTAAGATTCCCTACCTATCACGGATTACATGTGAAGTCTTCAAAGCGGACACATATTGGTGGCGACGCACAAACAAACAGCTCTGTTTGGCGTCACTTTAATTTAAAACCCGTGGGCCCGCTTCCGGTGAGTGCTGCACTGCAAAAGTGTACTGCGTGGAGCCTATCACTAAATGCATTTCATTTCCATCCGTGTATACAAATATATTTCGAGTTTTTTTACCGTTTAAAAAATCACAGACAAACGGAGAGGGAAGCGAGCTGCCCAAAAGGCACAGAAAAGTGATCCCTGAATTCGTTCCAGAGGGGAAACCCCTGGTTTTTGGCCATGAATCATGGATGTAGAAACACTTTTACATATGGAGGTTGAGATGAAATGGTGGGAGGGAGCCCATCCGTCCACATGGTAACTGCACCACAAATGGACAATAACTGGACGGATGTGCATAAATTTCCAAGAGAAGTTACTCTCTCCCCCCCTCTCTCTCTAGAAGCTGCTGTTCTTCTCCCCATTTTTTTCCTCCAAGAAAACTCCAGCCAATTTCTCCTGCGCGCAACCGCAACAGGAGGAAGCAAGTCTTCTTCGCCACCTGGCCCCTGTTCAGCACCAGCTAACATTAACATTGATTTGTTGGTGTTCCTTCTCCACTACCTCCACCCCCACCCCACCATCTCCATCCCTCCCGCCGTCCTCCCGATTTCTCCCCTTTTCTCCTCCCTTTCTCATGCCTTGACGCCACCATTGCCGGCTCCCCCTCCCCACCGCATCGACATCTCCTCCGCCGCCGCCCACCACTCGAAGCGTAGGCGAAGAGAGAGAGAGAGAGAGAGAGAGAGAGAGAGAGAGAGAGAGAGAGCAAAAAGCGGCGCAGGGGAAGGAGGCGGCGGCGGCGGCGGCCATTGGAGATGTTTGATAGCTTGCTCAACTCCAAGTTCCACAACAAATGGTACCACCTTGGATCCCTCCCTCCTCCCCGTCCGTCCGGCTCTGGCTCGCCGGAGCTTCAGCTCTTGCTGCTGCTGGGCGAGCCAGCCCGAAATCGAGCGGTCGAGGATTTCTGGCGATGATTTTTGCTCGTCGACTTCTCCGGTGCCAGCGGCCGGCATTTGTTTGATTTCTGGATTGCTGCGGCGGCGGTTCATCTGACGTCCGGATTTTTTCAGTTTCTGAGCTAAAAAGTTGTTTCGCCTTTAATTCAAGGGCTGTTTCTCTGCCTCGCCTACCTTTTCCCCTCTTGTTTGGCTGGAGATTACTACCAGGCCCGATTCGTGATTCGTGTTGCTGCTGCTCGCATGTGTTCGTCCAGCTCTGCTTGCTCTCTGATGGTCTGGGAATCTGTCTTTTGGGGGATTGTTTTGCTTGTTCGAAAAGTTGCTGCATCCGCGATTTGGGTGGATCGCATTTTGTTCAGGCTGTTGCTTGTTTTTTCTTGATCTGATTGCTGGATTTGCTACTGCTGTGTGATGCAGCAAGCACGCGATCAAATGCACCCGGACCCGGCTGGATCTGGTGCGCAAGAAGAAGCAGGCCATGGTGAAGTTCCTGAGGAAGGACGTCGCCGACCTCCTCACCAATAACCTTGAATCGCACGCCTTCGGACGGGTACAGCCTGCACACTCAACCCACCGACTTGCACTGTTTACTAATGATTGTTACCAGCAGTACTTCAATTTGGTGCAAACAGCTGCACTTTGTCTGTAAAAATATTGAGCATGAGATGTCTATATGTGATGGATATTTCCTCCTGTGATGGAATGCAGATGGAAGGGCTGATTGTGGAGATGAACCAAGCTTCCTGCTATGACATGATCGAGCAGTATTGCGACTACATAGGGAAGCAGCTCAACAACCTGCAGAAACAGAGGTATCGCTGATGTTTAAGCTGGGATTGTTGACAAAGGACATGTCGGTCAATGTTGCAATCCCTAGTAATTAAGCTTGGGATCAATTGATGCCATATGTTTCATTCGATTACTGCACGGCAGATGTGCGCACTACATTTTCTGGTGTATGAGGTCTTTGTGATCTCCTCCCGTATATGATGTTTCAGAATTGTTGCTTAGTTGACAGCAATAGCTTGACTCTCTGAATCATTTTTTGCAAAATGCATGACATGCTCCAGTTTTGATTGAAAACCTAAAATGACGCAAATTCCTGTCAGTTTAGCTAATCAACCAACTTAGTATGTATTAGCTATGTTCTGTAACTATTTGCATGGGTTTTCCAAAGTTTTAGAGGATCTCGAAACTGCAAATAAGCATACACTAGCTTTTTTGCAGAATTGTTCAGTTTACCTGGTCAGTGGGTATGCGCCCAACTTCCATACTAGATGAGTATTGTTCGTGTTTTGCTATATCAGTCCAGCATATTCACCTCTTTCAGAAGTTAGGAATACTTCTGGTGCATTCAGTTATGATTACACAACTTCCTTCTATAGTTGATCACTAATATGTGGTGCTCTATTTACAGTGAATGCCCTCATGAAGCCTTGGAAGCTGTGTCAACTCTGATTTTCGCTGCTGCTAGATATCCTGATTTACCTGAACTGTGTGAACTCAGACATGTATTCACAGAGAAATATGGGGCTTCCATTGAACCTTTTGTTAGCTCTGAGGTGCATACAATGCTGTGATTTTTGTGTTTTGAGTTGCTCTCTTTTGTTGCACCTATGCTGATTAACTTGACCCTTACGTGGACAGTTTGTTCAGAAGCTTCAGAACAAATCATTTACTAAGGAGGAGAAGTTGCAAGTGATTGAAGATGTTGCTGAAGAATTTGTGATCCCGTTTAATACCAAGACATTTGAACAACAGATATCTGGTGTACCTCCAACTAAAAAGGTATGTTTTAGGGAACTTACTGGTTTATACCGCCCATCCTTTTTATTAACAACTCGAACGGTCATTCACTTGTGGTCTTTCTTTATCAGGAACTTCTAAAGAAGGGTTCATTCAACGGCGTAGAGGTTGAAGTATCAGGGCGCAATGGACACAGGGTAGATAAGCATGCTGTGCTTGACAGGAAATCTAAATCTATACCTGATAAGCGTGAATGGAAGCAGGAATTTCAGATAAAACCAAAAGATATTCATGTTGTTCCTGATTACATTGGTCAAGTTGGTGAGAAAAGCAGAAAGAACTATTCAGATAAACCTGTTGAGAAGAAACATTTGGATAGTGATGTGCCTTCTGTGGACATGAAGCGACGGAATGGTCATGAAAAGGAGATCAACAAGGACGAGAAAAAGGGCGGTCAGTCTTGGAGGGAACTGATGAATGCAGAGGAGCTGGATCTTAATGGCTCAAAGAAGCAGGAGGTTGCCATGGCAAAATCTGTTCAAAGAGAAATGAAGAAAATAGTTCCTCCATACACAGACCTAAAGGTAACTGAGGAGAAAGATGGCACCGAAAAGGCAAATGGCAAAGGCTACCATCGGACCCACATGGCTGGTGGCACTGATCATAACTGGGGACATGCTGACTTGGGGCTTAAAACCCTGGGCCTGGAAAAGCAAGAAACTGAATCAGCTGGTACCTTGAATGGCAATGGCAAAACAGTAAACAAGGTTCCTCCATATTCTAAGCCGTACAGAGCGACTAGCGAGAAATCTGCTGAAGAAGATAATAATGGTTTGTATAATCGGGCACGACATCTGGAAGAGTTTGGACAGCCGGTGCAAGATAGGCAGCAAATGCCAGAGAAGCTAGTCAACATGCGGCCTCCCTATGTGAAGCCAAACTCTAGCATGAAGCCCGCGCATGAAAATCCAACAGATCAAGCTGCTAATGGTTACAAGCTCAACGGCTCGGAAGCAACGGGTCACCGGAGAGACGGTCTGGTCGACGATGATGGTGCACCTCGGCCCGTTTCCGTCAGAAGGAAAAGTTCAAGGCCACCAACACACGGTTCTTTGCACGACGAGGCGACCAATGATGAAAAGGTGACAAACCAAACCCCTGGTGGCCGAACAAGGCGTCCAAGCAGCAGGAATGGCTCCCAAGACGACCATGAGCGACGAAAGCACTCGAGCAGGCGTAACGGGTCGACAAGCGGCAGTGACTACCAGACAGAGGAGGATGAGACTGACACTGCGATTGACTTTGGCAACCTCTTGCCCCGAGCGCCTCGGAAGCACCGGAGCAGGAGCGCTCATCCCCGTGAAGGAGGAGGGCACGACGACGAAGAGAGGATGATGGATAAGCTTCTGAGACACTACAGCAAGAAGGGGATGGAGAGGGAGGAGCACAAGACGAGGTCGAAGTCCAGGACCCCTCGGCCTCGAGCAGATCAACCTGCTGATGGCAACAACAGAGATGGAGCGCCCAGTCATCCAGAGAGAACCGCATCTCTGCCTACAGAATCAGGTTCACCGGTGGGGAGGACGAAGGCTCCTGCCCCTGTTCGGTCCACCTCGCTGCAGCAGGACACGTCCAGGGGGAACGTGCACCCGAAGATGCCGGATTTCGACGAACTGGCTGCACGGATCAGCGCCATGAAGAGGGCATGAGTTGCCTGTCACCAGACCTGTTTTCAGGCTTCCAGCACGCCGTGTGTTCTACCACAGCAACAACATCTCATGACGGCGATCGCATGAATCAGAGGATCTCCTGAGGTAGTTGCATGCTTCCTTGGACCTTGGTGGCCCTGTTTTAATCTTTCCTTTGGTGGTATACTTGCATTGCATTGCATTGCTCCCTGTGTGATGTCTAGGGCAGAGAGCATTGGTTGGAGAATTGGAGTGGGCAATTTGATAGGGAATAGTACCATACTATATAGTAGTACATGTTGTTGGGTGCGGTTGTTTGATGTGCTGATGTGCTTACCTGTGAGTGTATAGATGCCGTTATTGAGGCTATACTGAAAATGACGACTCTTCCTTCTTGTTTCTGTTGGTGCTGTGTGCATGTGAGTTTTAAGTTGGTATGCACTTGACATTTCAACCTTGAATTTCTGCCACATGACAGCATTTTTATTAGTCAGACTGGCCACGTTGAGTCGAAGCATTTTTGGGTTGTTTCTCGCAGGAAGGCCGAGCATGTGGCCGTCCGGCGCAATAAACGGCGCCGGCGCCGACGCCGACTGACTTCCTGGCCTAACAATAATCTACACACGCACGTTCTCTTCAGAGAACTTCAAATTAGCTGGGTCAGTACCGAACTAAACTACTACTCCGAACATATAGAAATCTGATGCCGGCCAACTCCGTGGATTCTCCTGACGGAAGAAAGCATGCTAGGCACGTCTCGCAGCTAGCCCAGGGACCTCATCACGCCGACGACGAAATGCAGGATGCGGCTGTCGCCGCCGCCGCCGTTGAGCATGCCGTCGCAGACTAGCCGCTCCAGCCGGGGGTCCCTCGGCAGCGCCCCGCCGTGGTACAGCACGGTCGCCGCAACGGCCGCCGGCGGCCGGCTCGCGACGCACGCCGCCAGCCTCGCCACCGCCCGGAGGAACAGCGGCAGGAGACCCTGCGCATTGGATGGAAAACCCAAGAAGAAATCAGCAAACCAACCAACGATCAGAAACAGAGCACGTTTATACACAGTAAAAAAAAATGGATCAAAATGTTCGTGGAAACAGAGCAGCGCTCACCATCGCATGGTCTTCCGGTTTTGCCTCCGGCGGGCGCTTCCCGCGATCGGTAGATATACCTTTTCTGCGCTTCTCCTGGGGCCGATTTGAAGCTATCCCTTTTATACGCGGGCACTCCAAGATAACTAACTGCCAGGCTCTGCTTGCGACGCAAGAATTTCTTAGGATACATCACAGCATTTTTTAATTCCTTGGGACGCAAGAATATTTTGGATAATAAATATGGTTTGGGCGTGAATCTGAAAGAAATGGGGTTTCCATGTGGGGCTCGACGCGACGGGATTCGCTAGGTAAGGGCTGGCGATGGCAGCAACGGACCGGTCGTTGCACCCTAAGCTAGTCCCGTCTATGTAAACTTGGCACGCCTCTAGCTCCAGCTCTCTTGGTTCCTCCACCTTGCATTTTGTTCTTCACAAACAGAAGTTCTTATACATATTATTACTGGTTCTGCTTTGGGACACCAAATATATTTTCTTTAGTGCTGAAATGTATTGTCCGCTTCTTTTTATCGGTTTGGATTTTTGGAGTAATTCTTTGGAGCATGAATTTAATATATGGTGTCAAAACCAAGATGTCTTAAGCTAAAGACCCAGTCAATAAAAAAATAGTCGTGGCCTTCAACGACCGATCTCACGTCTAAGTCCTAACTGAGCCTGGACGGGAGGGGAGTATTGAAATATTTTGCACATCTTTGAGTAACTGGCTGGAGCATGAATTTAATACTTAGTTTTCTATGGACATATTTCTTACTCCATGCTTGCTTGACGACCCTAAATTTCCTCACGCCACCTCCTTCTAACCCGTACCAACCCCTCTATCTCCTTCCCTCTTTCGATGCACGTCCTCCGTGGCTCGTTGTCCCCTACTTGCCGCCGTCACCTTCGTCTCACTTGGAATGTCGTTGTTGCAACCGACAACGCGCATTGAGTAAGGGTGATGCCTAACACCGACAGAGCACCTTCTCTCAGCTCATGGGACACCCATTACCTTCTGACCATCGTTGTACACCACCTTATCATCATCATCATCATCATCTTGTCGGTCAATGATCCTCTTTCCTCTACTCTTTCATGCTTCCTCCTACGTGACCCCTCTAGCGCAACCCATATCTCCCTACCGAATGACATGATGCTTTTGTAAGACCTTTTTATTTATGTAAGAATGGCTCGGAGAACCTAAGTACATATCAAGTTCACAACACATAACAAATTTGTCAATTATAAGGACACACACACACTCACACACACCACAGCCACACCAGCACATCCATGCATACACATGCGTGTTTCCAAACCATAACATTCTAGATCTGGAGCAAAAAGCACTTGGATAAATCACATATTTATCATATGCATCAGAGACGATGGACACATGTAATAGGGCATGCGCGTGAAGATTCGATCTTTATCTTTTTGTCGAAAGAACGAATAAAAACCTTTGACGAAGCACTTTTTGATAAGCTTCCCTGGATGTGGAAAGTTTCTAATTCACGGTATTATGACTATTCGACATGTTTTCCTTGATTTGATAGCTTCCGCTAAAATGACACAAACACGGACTCGAAAAGAGGAATTCACATTCACTATTTCCCCTTTAAAAAATGATTTTTTTAGGAGAAAGCAATAGTAGTTGGATACATCTATCTCTTTCGAATTCTTTGTAGGTATATCTTTGAATGGCCTCGGCTCTACTTGACTTTTCTTTTTGGTGGTGGTAGTGGTGGTGGTGGTGGTGGTGGTGGTGGTGGTGGATGGTCTACTGGACTTCTGAAGTATCGCAGACCAGTAGTTTTTTAAGGCTTAACATACTTCACTTTATTGATTAACGAAGTTTATATGGATACAATTGAGGTTGGGAGGCTACGTAAGCCACAAATGACACCCTTTAGAAAGGCCTAGAGTATGCTTAGCAAAGCTATGTGCCTCGACATTTAATTTTCTTCCTTCGAAGATGAAGGAACACACCTACAAATTAGAGGCAGTCACTTCGATTTCACGAACAACATTCCCGTAGAAACCTCTTGTGTCGTTGTTAATATCATCGATTACACCTTTGCAATCGGAAGCAATGTCAATCTGACTTAACATCAAATTAGTAGTCAAAGCCATGGCCTCACAACATGCCAAGGCTTCTAGAGAAGTTGGGTCTGTTATACGGGTGAAGAAGATTGCTGAAGAACCAAGTATACTCCATTTGAATTTATGCAACTATTAGAATAAATTGGAGGCGTGCCGTCGATCATACGAGGACCAAGCAATCACACGAGCACGACACCAAGATTTGTTAACGAGGTTCACCGATATGGCTACATCTCCGGGGCCTGACTATGCGCGCTCCTCCCCATGACACCGCTACAATACCGCACCCGGTCGCCCTGGACGCCGGCACATGCCGCCGGCTTCCCCTGCGTTCCGATGCTATTATGTTGGCATATGTTACATCGTGTGTCTACCCTCGCTATATATGAGAGGTCTATGATACAAGTGTCTTATTTGGACACGACTCCATATCCTATCTAAACACAATACAACTACAAGTCCAACTATAACCTACCTTGTACACAATATTCGACACAACTCCAACAAACTCCACCTTGGCGAATATTCTCCACCACTTTGAATTCGTCCATGCGTCAAACTTCCATGTACATTGAACTTGAGTTTATCCCATGAGCACCGCTGCTACTCCAAAGACTCCATATGACTACACCTGCAACTTGTAGTCCCTTTTTTTCTTGACGACAGTTAATACTCGAGCAAAATTAAGTTCCTCATTACTCTACATTATGCTCCCAACTTCCGGAGTATCCGTCAACGCCATCACACACCAATCACTGACCTGCGTGAAAGTGAACAACTCACATATTGGGTGTCACACGTAAGAGTTACCTGAACTCAACATCACCGCTCCTTTCTTGACCGCCTGTCTGAAACTTGAAGGAATTTCACCGTTGCTTGTAGTCATTCTGAGTCAAATTCACAATTGTCTCACCACATGTATGACCACCAGAGCCCTGGCCCGTCTCCATGTCCCGTGCATACCGCACGCCTCGCCGCTATTACCGCGTCGAGTCTCCGCTGTCTCGGTCGAGTCTCAAGGGTCGCGAAACCACACCACTCAACCCCCACTGCAGAGTACCACCGAGCATCACCGACCGATGACGAGTTTCACGCTTCCATCAGACCACTGGGCTCCAGTCCGAACTGCATGTCACTCGCTTTTCCCCGCTAAATAGGCTTTGACTCTCTGTGCATTTACACCGTAGCCCCTCAATCAACACCAAGTGAAGTTCTCCAGACTCCAGCTCCACCTTCAACATGACTCCATGGTAGATGATCAGTCCACCTTCACGCCCCGTCGACTTCAAACTCTCATGTGCACCGTCTTGAATCAACCCCGCATCATAGTCTTGTCGAAGTCACACAAGCCTCGGACTTGTGCCACGTGTTTCCACGTCCCAGAAGTCGGTCACCATCAGCATCATGCTCCTATGTCGTCGTCGCCGATCCCGCACCGTCTTCTGTACCAACCGACTTACGTCGATCCCGTCAGACTGCCCAGTCCGACCCAGCCTCGTTCGACTGTATGACACGCTCAAGGCTCCCAAATAGTCTTCCATGAAATTTCCATCCATCACATAATAATTTCATCTTAGCTGACATGACTTCCCGCAACGCCTTCAAGCATTCATGTTGTGCCAACAAAACTTTCATCCGTGTCTGCCATAACCCAAGGTTTTCAGTTCCGTGAACTTCTCTGCCTCAAACCTGATACTCGTTGGCGCCATGGTTCTTCGTACAGCTAACACTTTGAAAAAATATCCGAGTTTTCAACACGTGCTCAAGTACACAAAATATAGTAGTAGCAAATTCCTACCAAAATATTTCTTGTACTCACGTGTAGTAGCTCCTAGCT